TAATTAAAATCAAGATGCTGTGCTTTGGCTACACGGACCTTTACATGGAAAAGTAGGTTTTACACATTTCCTTTATTGTTCAGTGCAGCAATTGCATCCTTCCAGGGTTGTAGGTTGGTGGCTTACAGTTCAAAAAAAAAGAGCTGCCACCAGCCCCGAAGACAGACAGTGGGCTTTCGTCCCTCCGACACCCCCAGAATACTAATCAGGAGAGTCGGACCCTGGAGGTCAGGGAGCAAGTCAATCATTCTAGCGATCGTCTCAGTGTGGAGGATCAAATTAGCCTGAAAAATTCAGCTGCTGGGAGGAGAGGGCGAGCAGCTGTCAGGGGCAGCTCGAGATGCACTAATGAACCAGATGAATAGTGCAAAAGCTTGAAAATAAAAACAGGACAGTTGACATTTTTCATCTGTCAAAAGCAGGAGATGCATGAAAATATACTATTCCTGTTTAACTCCTTAGGGGACGTTCGGATTTTTTTTTAACGCTCTGCAGTATTGAGACAAAAGTGCTGTAATGAACTCCTGGCACACGATAATGAATATATGCACGTTTACTTAGGGTTTCTGCAAACATGGAGACTGTCATTTACATACACAGCCTATATTTCAGGGTGGCATTTTAAAGACCCTATTTCATCCTAAAGTGTCCTCCCATTTTAACCAAAAAAAAAAAAAAGCAAAAAGCCATGGTCATCATCATTGGAGCTTCTCTTCTAGAAATTTCCTTGCAGATGGAGTGCTTTGTATGTTTAGGGACATGGACACTGTTTTTTGCCCTTTTCTCTTCGTGGGGAGCACCTGGTCCTGAGGCGGTTGGTGCGAGGTGCGTCCCCTGCAGGGCCGGCTCCCGTCCAGGCCGGGAAGGAGTTAAGCCCAGGCGGGAGCCGCCAGACAGATGAGAGCGTTTTCAGCTGGTCCCATCCCCGCCGCCGGCACCCGCTGCGGAGCACAGCACGGCCGGCGTGTTTCACACGCGCGCGGCCTGTCTGGGGATGTACACATTGTCCTTCCAAAATCAGACTTATTAGCACATGTAGAAAAGGGTGACTGACTTGGGGCAGCCCTGCGCTCTGTGCGGTATCCTGGCTGCCGCAGTTCAGAGGTTCAGAAGGTTCGAACAGGAGGCGAACATTTTAAATTGAATTTTTAGTTTGTAACCCGGCTTCCTACAGTCCTTGCTCGCACTTTAAATGTCAGGTTAGAACCTGGTCTTAAAGTTAAATTCAATAATGTCCTTTTTAAATTGGTTCACCCTTTGAGTCGTCTTTTTCTGCGTAAAAATCTCATTTGGATGCGCCTCCAAGTAGCGGCCATGACTTGTAAAACCTTGGCGCACAGTTCGTGCTTCTGCGACCCCGTCAGAGGAGAGGAGTCCTCATGCTTTTATGAACTGCTTGAGGATCAGTTACGACATTCAGATTGAGGAGACTTTTTTTTTCCACTCAAAATAACCTTTCCCTGCAGATGGAAACTATCGTGCAACCTAAAATGCTGTGCATTCTGGTCCTAAAGCATTGCTAGATGGTAATTCAGTTTTACCTTAAGTTTCATTTTTGTTGTATTTTGACCACTATCTGCTTGATGTAGACCGTTGATGCCTGCTGAGTCATGAAATAAATTAGCTGTCTTTATGGCATTATATTTACAAAGAGTTTTAAGTTATTTTATGTTCTTTTTCTTAATGCTGTTTTATGTGGCATATATATATATATATGAATAATTACATGCTAATCATTTCTCCCTTTTAGGGAAGTTTAAATGTTGAAAATAATAACCAAAAATTGAAGTAAGATTTCTAGGACTTGCTAAATAATTCTCTGCAAAGGATTTTGGCAAGAGTCAAAGTGCCTGGGTGGCTTCATTTACAGCCTCTGCTTACTCCACCCCCGTGCAAGAGTCTTGTGAGGTCGCCTGCAAAGCTAACCTGTAACTGTGTCAGTCTCACTGGGAGCATTTTACAGATGGCTGCGCTCCAGAGTCCGTTCTACGGTGACAAAATGAACCTGTACTCGCTGTGTAAGAAGATAGAGCAGTGCGACTACCCGCCTCTTCCCTCAGGTCACTACTCGGAGGAAGTAAGTCACCTTTCAGTCCGGGTGTTCGTTCGTCATTCGTTGTGCTGACGTCTGCGTTCTGCCAAGAAACTTTCCTTTTCCAGTAATACGGGTGCTGAGTGCAGGGCACTTGCGCTCTGCTTCATTCTCGTGGAGGGAGGCTTGGCGCTCAGAGAGCGGACTCGTGCTTCATCATGGGGGGTGGGCCACAGCCCAGCGCGCGCGCGGAGGGAGGCTGGCCACGTCCTGGGTGTGACGGGCACGGTGGCTGCCCTCAGAGCACAGGAACACGGCCGAGGGCGGGACTCAGGCCCAGGCCCCAGTCATCAGCACATCCGGCATCCGCCCCTGCCCTCACAGCCTCAGACCGACACACAGTAGGACTTTCTTCCTGGCAGAGCTTCCCTCCTGCCCCTGTTTTCCCCAAATTGAAACAAACTCTCTGAACTCCTTGTCCCTCAGCCTTGTTCTTTCAGCTTTGTCCTCCGTCCTCTTACAAGACCTGCCCCGTCAGCCCTCACTGCCGCCGTCAGCTTCTGTGGGAAGTGTCTGAGGCTGTCATGGTAGA